GCTCCCTATGTGGCAACCAAGGTGAGTTTCTCTGCTTGTCCTGAGTGCTTTACTTGATCATCTTACAAGTTGGAAGTAACAGTAATACTCACATATTTGCACAAGGGGGCAATCACCGCCATGACTAAAGCAATGGCTGTGGATGAGAGTCGCTATCAAGTGAGAGTGAACTGGTGAGTGACATTACCCCCAATACCCCTGACATCTAAGCTGTCCCTTCCTTTTTCATTTAGATCTGAATTATTCAGGATTTTCTCTATTTCAGATCCAATTGAATTTCCATCTGTGAACGTGCTGTTTATTAACATTCAAACTCTTTTATAGCATCTCTCCAAGCAATATAATGACGCCTCTGTGGGAGGAGCTTGCTGGCCGCACAGAAGACGCTGCTGCCACTATTAAGGGGGGAGAAAATGCTCAGGTAGGTGTTCATAAGGTTAAATATGCAATGCTATTCTGCTGAATATATTCTAGTAACATAATTCTACTCAACAGCTGATTGGTCGAATGGGAACGGAGACTGAGAGCGGATTAGCTGCCCTCTTCTTGGCAGCTGATGCCACTTTCTGTACTGGGATAGATTTGTTTCTGAGCGGAGGGGCTGAACTGAACTACAGCTTCAAAAGCCAAATTCCATAACCGGACAGTGATGGAAAGGCCCATGAAATATTGTGGCTTAATTTCTCATCTCAGACAGCTTGTTTCATGCTGCTTCTCAGTGCAACTATTTGCAGACTTTGCAAAAATTTTTTTTTTAAATCATTGCACCATTTCAAATCATTGTGCGAAATGATTTGCACAACTTTTATTTGAGTGAGGTTAAGTTTAATATTAAACAATCACATTATTGAAAGTTTACTGAAGTTATAAGCAATTGAAAATTGTTTTTCTTTCACTTGCCATTTCGCACTTTCATGCCGCCTTATGATCAGGTAAATGGTGCAATAATTGTTCAATTTAAAGCCAACTGCATTTATTTGTATATCTAATAGTAATATGACTTTTTTGGAGTAATTAATAATTCTAAATGCAGAGTTTTTCATTTTTTTTATGCAAATATTAGTTAAATATTATATGTAAGGGACCTGCACTGTGAATTACAGTACCATGAATGTGCAAAGACTTATTGGTGTTTACATGTAAACATTCTCTGGACTGTTTGTTACACAATAATCCAATCTTCAATTTTGATGTAGTGATTTTTTAAAATGAATGACTTTTGACAGGTTGTGATTTGCTTCATACACAAAATTATTTGTATTCATTAAAAAAACGTAATTAATTTACACTCAACACTCATTTTCCACTCATTTGTAGTCAAATTATTTTACTTAATATGAGCTAGAAAAAGTATGTCAGAAGCATGGCCAATGCCACTAATGGGGATTATTCTGATATAATTATATAAGACAAGTTGATACTGTTGTTAGTCTTTTGATATCAAAATGTTGTTGTTAGTCCTTAACTATATTAAACAGCTGGAAATGCACTGCATTATATGCAAGTTTCAAGACAGTAAATAAATAATAATCAGATTGATGTAAATTTGGTAGCAATCCCTAATATAGATTTCAGAGTTTGAGACAGAAAATTAAATTCAAAGAAAGAAACCCCAATTCAATTTAATATGCAAATAGAAACTAGGTTTCTGTGTAATCTAAAGCCATACAGCCTGGTTTTCAATAGTGACCAACACAGGTGGCAGGCTATTTTTATTTTCACCACATCATCAGCTGAAGGTATTGACATAGAACATATTTCTTCAAATGTCCAAAAGCCAATCATTTAACCGGATCGGACCAACGCCTCATATACTGGCCAATGACTGGAATGTTTCCTCATAACCTTGCTTAACCCCACTGATTGCGTAGATTTGACCCTTTACTTTTTTATCCAATCAGATGCGAGAGACCCGACACTCCTACCCGCGGGTTACTATTAACCCTTTGATGGACAGGAATAGCTTTGTTTGGAACATTAATGACTTTTAAAATTCATATATAGATGATAAATATTATGGTGATTATATAATCGACTCAATTATTAAGCTTATCATATGTATTTAGAAAAAAAAAATCCTCCTTATTTAGAAAGCAGCATCTGACTTATTATGGCTTTATGCTGGTGACAAAACGAATAATACTATTTAGCATATTTCAAACAAGCCTTCTGATGCACATATCTCACTGGTCTGTGTTGAAAACAATGCGAATGCGCTTAAGTAAATAATAAAGAACCCTTGAAGGATTCAAACCCTGAGCACTTTGCTGCTGTTTTCTTAGGGGTCCAATCCGGAACGCAGGGAGTCCCGGGCTGCTGCTCCCACACGGACTAGTTTACCATTCATCTCAGCACAGCAGCGATAGCAGCGATGGCAGCGGTCAGGACGGTGAGTTCAAAGACCGTTGCACCCATCTCCCCCACATCTCCAGAGCCTTCTGTCAATAATTAACGGCTCTGTCTAAACACCGAATGCGGAGTATATCAACAGAACCGAACTTTGCAGCTTTAAACTGCAGATCATCATCGTCGTTGCAAATCGACAACACGCAAGTGTCAATTATCACATGAGCGGGATGCATGTTTTAAGAGTTTGATGTGAGATTTGGATAAATAGGCAAACACACATTCACTTTCTTTGCTTTGCTCGTTCACTCAGGGTTTTTTAGCTATTAAAAGCAGTGTGAGCCATCTGTCTCCTTGTGCACAAATGCAGGTATATACAGCTGGTACATACTCAACCTTCACATCTCACGAGGGCTAAACAACAGCTGTCAAGAACAACATGCTCTGTGTCTGATTGGGCTATGGAAGGAAACGGTCAAAGTCACACTCTGTTTCTGTGTTTTAAGGCCCTGAATGGACGCTTTCTTCAGCCTCTCTCCCTGTCATGTGGGTCGTTGCGGTTCGTCAGCTTCTCCTTCAAGGTACTGAAACAAACCTGCCAGGTTTATGCACTACTTTTATTTCCATGCTACCACAAGTCAGTCTGGGCCTCAGGTCTTGTGATTGTGTGTTTGTTTTAGTTGGCTCAGAGTTTCACATCACAAGATTTATGGCTCATCACATTTCTGAAGTGTTAAGCAGGCCACGGTGTCGCCTTGTGGGATCTGACGTCTCTTTTCTTTGTGCATTTGCTTTCTTGCACGCTTTCTCCACCCCCCTCCCCAACTCCTCCCTTCCCTTCTCACAACAATTTAATTTAATTTAATTCAATTTCCATAAAAGCTTGACTGGCATGATGAATCCAGATTCATTTTTCAAATGCATGTGCAATCAGTGATAATGAATAAACATCTCTCCACGTGCCCACTTTACTCCCCACCCCTCTCTGTCTTTTCGTTTTCTCTCCCTCTTTTTCTGTCTCTCTCTCTCTCTCCCCGGTTGTTTGTGTCAGGCTGCAGATCTTACCATAGAGAGGAACCCTGCACTGAAGCCAAAGCCAGACCCCTCAACCCTTGTGTTCGGCAAGCAGTTTTCAGACCACATGCTGACAGTCAGCTGGTCTGAAGCAGGAGGATGGCAGGCACCTCAGATCAAGCCCTTCCAGAATCTGTCCCTTCACCCTGCTTCCTCAGCCCTGCATTACTCCATAGAGGTGAGGGAGTGTGTGAGCCACATGGCTCTTACTACCTTTTTGTCATTTATTCAAAATAAAATTGACTTTATTTCCCAAGTCTGGTGTTTTTACCTGAATTCTATCAGATGCTCTGCCACAACATAGAAATGAAATGTCTGCAGTTTTTTTTTCTTGATGTTGCAATTGCAATCATTAATTTTCGAAATATTGCCTTTAATAATTATTATTATTTTATGTAAGTATAAGTTGTTTATAATTCTAAATCTTAAACATCTTATCAAATTAGTTAATTTTATATTACATTAAATTATATAGTTAATTATGCAGCTCGACAATGATGTTATATGCAATACCTCTCTGAAGATTGGCGTCAGTATGATTTTTTTTTTTTTTTTTTAATTAAATATTTTTATTCAGAAAAAGCGAAGGGAAAGCAACAAA